GAACAGAAGAAGAGCAAGACTGATCTCATCATGCTTTGGCCACTGATCAACAGCACCAGGATCACTGGGCTGTTTGACTGTGGGGCCACCAGGAACTTCATGTGTCCCAGTGCAGTTAAAAAGTTGCACCTGGGCATGAAAGTTCAGCAGTTGCAGCAACCGCTGCTGGTGTGGATTCTTGACTCCACAGTGCTCAGCATCAGGGAGAAGGTCAAGGGGATCCCTGTGACCTTCAATACTACTGGAAAAGTTAGACACAGTCTGAACTTTTACATTTTCCCTGAGCTTCCCTTTGACTTGGTGTTCTCCATGCAGTGGTTGAGGGCAGTCAACCCTAGGATCGACTGGAAGATCCCTAGAGTTGAGCTACCAGACAGCTAGGGTGTGTATCAGCCATGCATGATTGCTGCTGATCACCACCCTAAGACCTCTTGCTACTGTTTGAGAGCGAGGGAGTTTCATGCTCTCTCTCGCCAGTACCACCACGAGCGTCTGTTTATTGCTTTGGTCAAGCAAACAAATGCTCCCACTGTTTCCTGTCCTCCTTAGATACAGCAGGTGGTAGATCAGTATGTTGATCTGATGCAGGAGCCCTTTGGGTTACCCAACCGGCCAACCAAGCATTACATTGAGCTACTGCCTGGAGCGGTCCCTCCCAAGGGCCGCATCTACAGGATGTCCCCTGCTGAGCTTGAGGAGCTCAGAAAGCAGCTTGAGACCCTGACCAGCAAAGGCTGGATCAGACCCAACACATCTGAATTCTTTGCACCTGTTCTATTTGTGCCCAAAGGGAATGGCGAGTTTAGAATGTGCATTGACTACAGGGGTCTCAATAAGATCACTAGGAAGAGTACTGAGCCATTCCCTAGGATCGATGACCTCCTGGACATGGTGCAGGGCTGCACAGTGTTCAACAAAGTCGACCTCAAATCTGGCTACCACCAGCTTGAGATGGCAGAGGAGGATGTCTACAAGACAGCCTTCAAGACCAGGTATGGGACTTACGAGTACCTGGTCATGCCATTTGGACTTTGCAATGCCCCAGGCACCTTCTAGACCGAGATGCACCGCATCTTCAGGCCTTACCTGGACAAGTTTATGGTTGTCTACCTGAATGATATCCTGGTATTCAGCAAAACTGCCAGGGAACATGCGGAGCACTTGGCTTTTGTCCTTCATGCGTTACGTGACAGCCAGTATAAGATCAACAGAGAGAAGTCCTCCTTTGGAGTTCCCTCTGTCATCTACCTGGGTCATGTAATCTCTGGAGATGGTCTGGCTCCTAAAGCAGCCAAGATTGCTGCTATTCAGGAGTGGCCCTAGCATCAGACAGTGAGGGATGTCCGGTCCTTCATGGGTTTGGCCTCCTACTACAGAAAGTTTGTCAGGAACTTTTTTGCAGTGGCTGCACCCCTGACTAACCTAACAAAGAAGGACACTCCCTTTCTTTGGTCCCTTCACTGCCAGTTGGCCTTCACACGACTCAAAAAGGCCTTGACTCCTGCGCCTGTACTGAAGTTACCTGACCCCACTTTGCCATTCATCGTGACCACTGACGCCAGTCAGTATGGCATTGGGGCAGTTCTTCAGCAGGATGATGGGAATGGTCTACGGCCTGTAGAGTTTATGAGTAAGAAGATCAAGACTCAAAAGCTCCAGGACTCCACCTACAAGAAAGAGCTATATGCTCTTGTATATGCCCTGAAACACGGGAAACACTTTCTCCTGGGCAGGCACTTCAAGATCTTTTCAGATCATTCCACCTTACAGTGGATGAAGTCCCAGGGAGAGTTAAATGAAAAACTGACACGGTACATTCAGTTCATAGACATGTTAGACTTTGAACTGAAGCACAAGAAGGGCTGCTACAACAAGGTAGCAAATGCCCTTTCTCGTAGGCCTGACTCTTTTGCGTTGATCTCCTCTACTCACTCCTTTGGAGAGGAGACCCGTCTGATCATTGCTCGTCTACTGCCTCAGGACGAGACTTTCGGACCCATTGTCGGGAATCTGCAAGCAGATCCTAACTCTGAACCAAACTATGCTCAGAGTTCAGATCTGTTGTACACTTGCAGTAGAGGTGAGGAGTGCTTGTGCATACCCCATGACCAGCGGCTAAGGACACTATTGATGTCAGAGTGTCATGATGCCTGTGGACATTTTGGGTTCCTAAAGTTTTATGCAGCCCTGTCGCAGCGCTTCTTCTGGAAGGAGATGAGGAGTGATATGCTGTGTTATGTGGACACCTGTGAGCTCTGCCAAAGGAATAAGGTCCAGAGTAGACCTCCTTTGGGACTACTCAAAACCTTACCCGTACCTGATGGCCCTGCTGAATTTGTGTCGATAGATTTCACAGATTTAGGCAAGACCACCCCTCGTGGCATGCGTCAGGTTATGGTCTGCGTGGACAGGTTCTTCAAATACGCAGAGTTCATCCCCTTTCCAGAGGTAGCTAGGGTACCGGCTGTGAGAGCAGCTTTCTTTGAGAGGTGGGTCACACACCATGGACCGCCCACTTCTATTGTCAGTGATCGAGACCCCAAATTCTGCAGCGATGAGTGGCAGTCCTACTGTAAGGACTATCTGCACTCACGACTGGATATGACTTCTGGTCACCATCCTGAAGCCAATGGTTTGGCTGAAGTGATGAACCAAGTCTTATTCCAGCTGCTGCGTCCTATCATCTCTCCAAATCAACAGGACTGGGATCTTCACTTAGCGAGGGCACAACTCATGTATAACATGTCTGTCCACTCCTCGACAGGGTTCAGCCCCTACCGGTTACACTGGGGACGTGAACCACGACAGCCTCTCGATGACATCATCGCCTGATCTGACACCAGGCACAGCAGAGCTCACCAGACGTTATCGTTTAGATGTGGAAAGAGCCCGCGCGAACTTGTTCAAAGCCCGAAAGGCTATGATTGAACAAACTAATCGCCACAGGCGGCCTTCCCCCATCCGCACTGGTGACCATGTCTGGGTGGCCAGCTCTGAGCTGTCGAGGGAGGAGGATATCTCTCCCAAGTTGTTGCCATGTTACCTGGGTCCATGGCAGGTCCTAGATACAGTGGGCGCTGATCCCTTTGGTCTGTCGTATGTCATCGACGTCCCGCTCCATCTACGCACCTACCCAGTCTTTCATACATCCAAGCTGCTGCCTTTCACCCCAGCTGATGCATTCCTAGACCGGCCCCCTCAATTCGGTCCACCGATCCCTGGCAAGGGATATGACGTGGAATGGATTGAGGACGAGTGGGGCACAGGCCCCGACTGGCAGTATCTTGTGAGGTTCGCATTCCAGCCTCCTTCTGAGAACAGATGGTTCTACAGAAGGGAACTTCTCAAGACAGCAAAGTCAGTTGTTTTGCGATATGAAGCGGCTCAGAAGGGCAACCTTCCTCGTCGTTCACCTCGCCTGCACCCCTAGCTCGAAGGTCCTCGCTCCCGGGGAGGGTAAGCCTGCAATGGCTTGCTGATTTCTACTGCCGATATTGACTGCGAGGCTGTACACTAACCGGTAGGGTTAGATTCGTAATTTTGTTTGGCTGAGGGCTAACCGAGAGACCTGCCTGTAAGGAAATTCGTGAGGGACACATCTGTAAATCTGGGAAAATATAGGCCCAGCACTAACCCGAATTCCTACAGCTACCCTAACTGCCTATAGCAGGCCCGGGCTACCCCTAGGACAGACAGGCCCTAAGCGGCCTATGCTGCTAGACGGTCCTATAGCCTATAGCCGGGTCCGGTAGAGGCCGAGAGGCGGAAACAGCAACGGTACCGGTCGGTCAGTCAGTCCGGTCTAGGTCTAGGTAGTCTATAGATAGGTTAGGCCCATCGGTTCAGGACTTTTTGCAGGTCATTTCTCGCAAAGCAGCGTTGGAGAAGCCAAGCAAGTTGGTGGCGGTGACTGTCTGCAGGCGGCATCCTGAGACCGCACCGTTGACAGCAGCCATATCCGGCCCCTACTGAGTCTGCCATAGCTGGGGCATCCTCAACGCATCTACCCCTGGGGGTATCTGTGTATGGCCGGGCTACATCGACGCTCTACACTGTGTACTCGTGGGTGGTGGCAGCCATAGCTGCCTGTTCCTTCGTCAGAGTTGTCCATYGACACTGAAGACTTCATCGCAGGACCTGTTCTTCATCAGGGTGGTTGGCGCTGGCCTCTGGGAGGCYRWTCTGATGKGGCRCTACTAACTGGGTGTAGGATAGAGAGTGGGGTGTGAGTTCTRAGAGTGGCGAGATACTGGAACAAACTCTGTTACGATAATTGTTTGAGTGGCTCATCATCAGTGTGATTTCCAATTGTGATCTTCGCAGGTTCTTTCTTGTGATTGGTTGTTGGGAGTTGTGTCAGAGAGTGAGAAACACTGTGTGTCTTGTCCCCATCTGTGCATGATTGTCTTCTGCTGCTTATTTTTACCTGTGTGCAGTTTGGACTCTGTCTCCTCTCTCCCCTTCTCTTATGCATGTATGGGCATGTATGAGATTGTCTGTGCATGAGTGGCGATAAAATTCGTCAGACAACCAAGTTCATAACAATGACACATTTGTAATGTCCCAAAACAAAGTGAGGGATGCTACCAACTGGCCTAGCTCAGTTGGTTTACCACTGAACTGTTGAAGTACAGACCTGAGTTCGAAGTCCACTGGAAGCAGATGAGTGAAATACAGGGTTAGGGATGCTCTTATCACCCCCGACAGTAACCCCGGCTGTTTTTCTTGAAAAAAAAAAAAAAAGAACGGTGTATTGGGTTAGGTGTTTATCGTTTTTCTTTTCACACAAATCCGGGAGATACTCAGTTTGTTGAGTTGGCACAACAGGTGGTCAGGACACATGGTATGGCAATACCTTTTTTTATTTTTTTGGGACAGAGCCAGGACATGGAGCTTTCTCACATTTGTCTCCACCGTCTTTCCCCTCTGTTTGGTCTTGTCCATCGGATTATATGTTATTGACGTTGTACCTTGTACTCAACGTATTATTTCTGATGCAGGACAAAGGCCGAATAACATTCGAGGACCTGACAAAGCTGTTGGATGTTCTTCACATCTACTTGTAAGATGTTCCTTTTTTACTTCTTCTTTTTTGCCATCTTGGCAGGAAGAGTTTGATCTTCTTTTCTTTTGTGTCAGTTTTACCTTTCAGTACCTACCTACCACTACCCCTAAGCCTATGCAGGAGACCGCTGCAGCATAGCTACCTCTCACAATAAAGAAGATGCATGTTACCCCCCGCCCTGATCGGCGGGGGTCAGAGAGTAGGGTGGGGCCGCCCGGGCGGCGGCTATCAAAGACCGAGCATTTTGTCAGTACCTGGCCCTCCCCATCTACTTCCCCTCGCCCCCATCGAGTAACAGCATTCTCTATGACCATCACTCTCCCTTGCACCACACACAGCCCCCCTACACACACACGCACACCCGTGATGGCCACTTGTGTGCCTAACGAACTGAGCTAGGCCGCTTGCTCGTGCCCTCATCTTTGTTTTTTTCTAATTTCCTTTTTTTTCTGTTTTTTTTTGTTTCCAAGTGCCCTCACCTGTGCTTGTATGCCCTGGACTTTATTATTACTTTATCATTTATGTCTTTTTTTTAATGCCCTCTCCTTGCTTGTATGCCTGGAATTTTCTTTCTTTTCCTAAACGCCCTCGCCTGTGCTTGTAAGCTGAATTCATTACATCGTCTCCAAGTATCAGGAAAACTTATGCAAGAAAGTCCTGTCTTTTAGTCAGCCATCAGAACTTCCTCGCCTGTGCTTGTATTTGCTGTCTGATGCATTCAAGAAAGTACAAGTATGCTCATAATAGCTACGCCAGGCCTCTTCTTCTAATGCTGTCCACCATGCCTAAGGGTCAGGCTCTCATAGGCTATAATTGCAGCTAGGGTGGCATGAATCTACCCTTCATTTCCTCTAGGTTCACCCCACTGAACAATTACTGTATATAACTTATGTGGAACGACTTCAATGTGGTACTCTCTCTCTCTCTCTCTCTCTCTCTCTCTCTCTCTCTCTCTCTCTCTCTCTCTCTCTCTCTCTCT